ATATATGCAATTAGTAATATAATATATTATATATACAATAATAATATAATATTGATAAATATTATCAAAAAGTGACGTCATCAATCTTACAGTACCCCCGAATCCGGCGGACTGCGCTGACCTGCAACTGCACTACAAAAACCGCATTCATTCCGGACGTTATGTGGTATATAATTGGCACTGTGCCAATGCCTCAAGACCCGATTGCGCATTCCAAGTCAATTGCGATATGCAAATCTTCGGCGGTGGATGGACGGTGCGTGCCTAAACAATTTTTATTATATACATAACAATAATAGTAATAAAAATATTATTAGGTTATACTGCAACGCATGAACCTCACGAAAAGTTTCGACGGACGTACGATAGATGACTATGAGAAAGGATTCGAACTAGACACTCGCAATTTCTGGATCGGTAATAATAATAAATAATTTACAATAATAATTGATAATATAACAATAAATAATATAATAATTACAGGTCTAAACCAGCTGCATACCCTCACAAACCGTCCGCAGTGTGCGAACGAACTGGTAATTCGTCTCAAAACATCGCGACAATCTAAAATTATTATATATCGCTATTCACATTTCATAATCAATAATAAGATGACTAAATTTCGATTGAACTTGGGATTTATTACGTATACAAATCAACCCAAAAACTGTAAGTGCAATACGTCTCGTTTCGAATAGATCATAGACAAATGCTTAGTTATTATTATATGTAGTAACAGTAATATTATTAATACAATACTTTTTTGCAGGTGTTGACGAGCTGCAAGACGCACGTATGACAGCATTCGAAGTGGCCAGGAAAGAATGTCCGCACTCTTCTGGTGGGTGGTGGCGTCGACGTTGCGGTCAGCACGGCGTGTTGACCGGGTCAAACCAAGTGGACCAAGGCGGTGAATACGACGACGGATTGCGATGGGGTGGCGAACGTTTGTTGGCACTTCAGATGTTGATCAGACCGAGGGGCTACATCGTACCCCGGGCAAATTGAGCCCGGTAGTATTTTTATGTACGGCGGCTTAGGCTTAGTTTGCTTGGAATGTGCAATTCCAAGCAAACACCACCCACCATACATAAACACCGTACACATCGTCGAACATTTCGCGTCGAGTTCACTCCTCACCCACAAACCAATAAATAAACCCAAACCCCATGCTACAAGTTACTTCGTCCAACCGAATACACTTCAACCCTAAACCACCAAATATAAACACAGCACCCCCGACCACTCGCCATCCGACCACTCACATAGCACCCCTGGCCACTCGCCACCCAATCCCCGACCACTCGCCATCCGCACAACCACGACAATGGCTGGTACCACTCAGCGCCGTTCTTATATAGAGGAAATTTCCCGCCAAATTCGCACATTTGGCGGGAAAACCGACCGATCGCCGGCGATCAAAAGTGATCAATTGATTTCGATCACCGGAAGTGATTGAATGCGCGAATTTGGCGGGAAACTTTGGCTCTATATAAGGCTGGCGCTGAGTGGTACCAGCCATTGTCGTGGTTATGCGAATGGCGATGCCACCAATCAAAAAATTGATCACTCTATCTTGATGCCATCAAATCTAATCGATGTCTCCGCTATGCGGGATCGAACCCCATCCACTCGTCCGTCCAATTGGTAGGCTGGCGTGCTATCCACTGGGCTATCACTCCGACGCTTGTAATCTCGATTGACTCACCAGAAACGACTGAAACAACTACGAATGAACTGTTTCTCTCACTGTTTCATAATAATTTCCCTTGTGCACAACAAGATAAACATATTTATTATTATCACTACCCACCTCCATCAACACATTCAAATTCACATCATCAATATTAATAATAATTGCAATCACACAAAATAAATCCAACACCCATCCATAATAGTAACTAATATCAAACGGCCAATAACAACCACAATAATAATAGTCACAATAGTAATAAAATAATATCGCACCAAAACTCCAACCAAAACAATTAATTATTCAGTAACAACAACACTATGAGTTCGAATAACAATAAAAATTATGATGAATATCATTTAACAATAAATATTACACAATAATAATTAATGTTATATATAGTAAATAATAATAATAATTAATAGATATTATTTCTCCCTCGAAAACAACCACAAAAATGGCCGCAACATGCAGCACCACTGTATTTCAATTTCAATTAGAATTAAGAAAAACCAAATACATGAAAACAGAAAAAAAGAGCAGCAAAAGATAACGCAAAAACAAGATGAACAGACATGAAAACACAACGAGAGACCATCTTTCACAAAAAAATACTTCTACAATCGTCTGATGGTGTAATTTTTAAAAAATTCCAATAATAATAATAAATAACANTAAAAATAACATTAACTAAAACAGCCATATTAAAAATAATAACTCAAAAAGGTAGTGTTAAAATCGATACAATTCATATCATTTCAATAATAATAAAAATAATATTCATCCAATTAACAATAATTATAAAAATAATAACAGTCATACTAAAAATAATATCAAAACAATAAAATAAACATTAATAATCATCCATTTAATAAAATCATTATTAACATCCGCCCACTTCTTTCGCCCCGCCTACTGTCCCGTGCGTCCTTGCTGCTGCTGCTGTTGTTGCTGTTGCCAATACCTGCAATGACAAAAATTGCAAATAATAATAAACAATAATAAGCAATAATAATAAACACAATGACAAAACACTTACGTCTGCCACAACTGCGGGTTGTTGTAGTACTGCTGGTAATAATTCCAGTACGCCGCGTCGCCCTGTCCACCCTGCGGGGTTGCATATCCTGGATATGCCCCGTACGGCCCATACGCTCCATAGGCGCTCTGCATTTGACTGTAGGCGTTCGATTGTTGCTGATTATGTCCCTGAAACATTACCAAAATTACGAAAAAATACCCAAAAATTTCCAAAAANAAAAATTATCCAGAAACACCAAAAAACCCACGTCAGGTGTTCTGCCCCACGAGCATTTGACCGTCTGTCCCCCAATTTCCGTCCCGTTCATCTTGACGATCGCATTACATGCCGATTCCTTCTTGTCGAATCTGACGAACGCAAATCCCTGCGTTTTGAAGATGCGCACCTCGACGATTCGACCGAATTTGTCGAACGCCGTGCGCAGGTCTTCGTCTGAAACTCTATTATTATGAAGCCATTATGAATTATATATACATGCAGCACACATCATCATAAACGTTATCATTATTACTATTATCATGTAGCGATGTACTATTATCATGTCCGAACCAAATGGGTTATACACCAGACTCAACCTCCTCTCTGATGCACATATCAAATCAGAGACCTCGTCCAACCCCTCCGATATAGCCTATATCGCTTATCATTATCACTACTATAAGACAAGTGATAACAATAATATAGCACATATATGACACTCGCCATACCATTTCGTCGAACTCAAGACCACTGAAAAACCAAAAGACGGCAAAACACCATCCGATTCAACTTTCCGTTTCGAATGGCCTTGTTTTTGTGTTCTCCGATATGACAAGCTCTTAAGACGTGCATTACCTATGCATATAATACTAACAATCCAATTAATAAATACAAACCATTCACACTCTGATTGACGTTCCCGATGTAGACACTTGTGTTGTCCGGCCCGGTCTGGTTGAATACGTCGTCGTACGACAGCTCCGGTTTGCTCTGTTGTCCATCGGTGCCGGTTGGTTTTCTTGTCGCCCAGTTGGTGCGAATCGTCCTTCGGCCCAGCCATTGGCCATTCATCTGCTCGATGGCGCGCTCTGCTTCCTGCATTATTAATAATTAATATTAATAATAACAATAAGCATCATAAAATAAACATCATAAGAAAGGTCTAACCTCCCTCTTCGGGTACGACACGAAGCCGTAACCCTTCGACTTGAGTGTCGTCGAATCACGGATCACCTTTGCATCCCTAAAACACCGTAACATTTATCAATAACGATAAACAATATATAACAAAACAAAACAAAACAGAATCAAAATACAACTCACGATACTTCTCCAAATGGTGCGAACGCATCTTTTAACGCCTTATTATCCACTTCGGGCGATAAATCCCCAATAAAGACGTGGAAGTGCTTACTTGTATCCACCTTCGCCTGCGATCCTGGCTCAGTTGCCCAGTTCACTTTCATTTCCTGAAATAACAACATCAATAACAACAACAATACTAAAAAATAATGTTAAAAACCAATAACATTACAAAACCAACTCGGTCAAGTAGCACCCTCTTATTCATGGACTGTACCGCTTGCGCCGCCGTGTAGTGATCCGCGAACTCAACGAAAGCGTAAGGATCATTCGTGCCCTAAAACAGCAGCACAAAATCAAATCAATATCAATTTTACAAAACTGGTACCACACCAATTTCAGGGTCATCACCCCTCCCCCATCAAAAATTTGGTACCACACCAATTCCAGGTTCACAATACCACCAACCCAACCCAAACCTACCTTCCTCTCGTCGTTGTCCACAACTAGCTATCACCTACCTTTCTTCTGCAACCGTCTCATCACACTTCACTAACCTTTTCCTTCGTTCCAATTCAATATCGCCGCTTACTGTATTCCTAGAGTAATACAGAACAGCCTCGCACAATACTATTCTCCCGAATAACATTTCAAATCATAAAACAAACGCAACGCAACCCAACCCAACCACTTTCATACAAGCGGGTGTACCAGCCAGCGCGCGCGCCTTCAAATCCGTG